GGGGGGGGGGGGCTCAAGCACGGGCAACACCCACTAGACCGCGGGGACTTCTCATCGGCTCTAAATGCGCCCCCACAAGGAACGACGCCGATGAGCGCCTGCAACGCCTGGGGTTGGCAAGCCCGCCAAGCAGCTGTGTGCAGCCGATGGCCCGACCCAAGGTGGCCCGACCTCAGCTCCCCCGTGCAGCGAGGTGGTGGTGCGGTGGGTGGGCTGCACCTACCTGCCAGGGTTTGACGTCTAACTTGCACTCGCGTCGCCTCTGCGAACGCTCATACTGTAGGTGCGCCTAAGGGGACCTTTCAAATGCGGTCCTCGAGCACCAGAAAGGTCGACTGCAAGGATGGTCCAATACATGGACATGGGTGTCAAATGGGTTGCCTATTGCCAAGGCGCCTGGTACGCGAGAGGGCATGAGTCAGAGCTTCCCAGTCGGCTATTTATTCCAAATTGCGGGGGTTTCGGAGGAGGGGCCATGGGTGAAAGAGAACTTGAGGCGCCTCGCGTGCCTCTGAGGAATCCGCGCACACCGGTGCAGACCTTCACCCTAAAGAAAAAGTAGCAGAAAAATCATGTTCCTACCGGGGACGCACTACGCCCCCCCCCTCCCGGCCCCACCCATTTTTTTAACGTCCTTATCGGAAGTCGGCTGGATCTACGCCTGCCGGTTGACACTCAGCCTCTTACTCAATGCAGGAATAGTATCGTTACATTGGCTTCTTCTGCGTTGGTGCACAATTGTTAAACCCTTTCCGCACTTATGAACTTGATTTTCAAACCGATAAAGAATTACCCGCCCTTGGAAACGTCAACGCTGCCGTGGATAGGTTGGGTTCATTCATCCAACGTCCAACGGGCAGTGACTAGCTGGCTCGTCTTGTACATCATGATGGCAGCAATCACAATTAATAAAATGTGCCCTTAGAATAACTAACAAAACAAATCTGTGCAATGACAAGATTAGCGGATTACTTCGTAGTTATTGGCTACGATCATGAAAAAGAGCGTAAGTATCACGGTAAATGCTTCGAGGGGAAAGAACGGATACTTAGCACTTGCCTCTGCCCTGTACTCTGCTGTCAGCGTTATTTTCGGACGATGTCATACGGCTAGGAGTAGTAGCTTGTTGATGTCAAAATATTGATGTTTCATTGCTGTCAGTAAAGTTTGCAAAGTTTGTGAGTCAGATAGTCCAGGGTCATGGCACTGCTCACTTGGGAATGCGTTTGATAGCCTTCTATTTGCACTGCCAAGATAGGCTTACCTAACCTTTTCGATGTTATTTACTTCGCAATACATGTAATTTAGCCAAAATAGTTCCTTTAACGATCTGTTACAACAACTTTGGTGGCCTCGATGTCCAACGCAGTCTTGCCGTGAATCGTATAATGTTGTTTTCCATCTGAAATCCATTATGTTACGGTCTGGTGACACCCATGTAATAATTTTGTTGATGTATCTTGGATGCTTGTCTGATGTTATGTTTGTTGAATAGATAGGGAAACATAGAAAGTATACCCCAGACTTAAGCCTAATTTTTTGTGGTTTTAGGGAGTGGTGTTAGTAATGGCGTAATCATACAACGATTTCCTGAGAAGGACTGGGAGGATACACCATTCATTGACGGTATAGAATGGGTGAGTTGGTTTATTCATTTGTTGCACGTCCTTCACAAAGGGTTTAAAAAAAGTAAAAGTGGTGTTTATGATCTTGTATAATATCTACTTACTTTTCCAGTTTTGCCAACCACAAGGATGGGCCCTATCATCAGAAAGACAAGAACCTCGGTTCTTTGTCTCAGTTCTCACGGATATAGATGCCAAAAGGCATTATTGCGCTTGTCTATGCTTCAACGAAACAGTTTCTATCACACCCAGCAAACCTGTAGACGAGGTAAAAATGTTACAGTTAACATCTTTTCAAAAAAGTTAATTTAATGTTTCTGTGTTTATTTCTAATCTTACATTTTTCTCTATTGTGTACTGTACACAACTCCTTAAAATTATTAAAATTTGTTTGTATTCTGATCTTGGTAGGAAGAAGACCAGGTAGAGGCAGAAAACTCACACCCAAATCTCAGTGGCAGTTTACCCAGGCCACTTCCCACAATATCGCATCACAGTATAATGTATGCTCCAAAGTGCCTTGTATTGGTTTCACGTCAAGATTACATTGAAACCTTCCGTGTAAGTATATCATATTATTGTTCATTATTAATTTTAAAGTTGAGCCACATAGCCTAAATGGTATCAATGTTTTTTTTTTTTCTTTTTCTAAACTTTCTAGAATTGTCTTGGGATCATCTACACTGTGTATGTTGAGGGCTTAGCAATTCCTCTGGAAACCTTAGTTGGCAATATTTTGGGATGCATTCAAGTTCCTCCTCCGGGTGGACCTCAGGTGCGGTTTAGTATAGGCGCAGGTGATAGGCAGGCCCTACAACCTCCACTAAGCCCATCTCTCCCAGTCACAAATTCATCTGTCCACCTTCTCTTTCAACAACTTGGTAAGTGAGATTATTTACGCATATCTTTTTACAGTTACTCTTCAACAGTTTTATCTGAGCTACTACCTTTTACTCTTGTTTTGCAGGTATAAGAAATGTTTTGGTTTTGTTCTGTGCTGTTATGACAGAGCACAAAATTTTGTTTCACTCTAAATCATATGCAAGGTTGACTGATGGCTGCCGTGCTTTGATTGCTTTAATGTACCCCTTTCGCTATTGTCATGTGTACATTCCACTTTTGCCTGCTGCACTTGTCGAAGTGCTGTCCACCCCAACTCCTTTTGTGATGGGTGTTCATTCATCTCTGAAGTCTGAAGTAGCAGAATTGGTACTTATCCTTGTAGTCTTTTCTATACTTTGAACTTTCAGTCAGTTACAAATGCTAATTTTATCTATCAATTTTCCAACAGATGGATGTCATCATGGCAGATCTAGATGGAGGATCTATATTTGTTCCAGACGGAGTTTCTCTCCCACTACTTAGTGAACCTCTCTTGAGTCACACTTTTGAGTCTTTAAGCAAGGTCTTACAGCCAGAACTATCATGTGCCGATCATGCCTTTCCTCCTCTTGCCATGAGATCAACACTACCTGCTGTTCAAGACAAGGAAATTCGAGCAGTGTTTATGAGAACACTGGCACAACTTTTACAAGGATACCGCAGCTGCTTGACCATTATCAGGATTCATCCCAGACCTGTGATTGCTTTTGCAAGGGTATGTTCTTAAAGACATACTGTACTTAATAACTAACCATAACAACCAACAACAAAATCAGTTTTATTTTGTCTATTTTCCATTCAGGCATCTTTCTTGGGTGAACGGGGCCTGACTGACTGTGATTTTACTACAAGAGTCTTGGAGTGTATGTTTTTCACCGGTTTTGTCCAAGAAAGAGGCCCTCCTTGGAGACCATGTGATGTCTGGGATGAATTGTACAGTAATATTGGAGACCATTTAAGACTGGAAAGCCAAGATCCAAGACTTCTATTTACGCATATTCAAGTAAGGCCAGAGTATTTAGTATCATGTATCATCTGAATTCTAATCTCTGCTGTGACCAAATCACAGTTTTCCTTGTATTATCTCAACTGAACTAAGTAGTTGTTTTCCTGTTTAGGAACTAGGTCAACAATTATATACCAATGAAAGTCCAAATCCACAACCATATGTTCAAAAAATTTTAAAGCCACCAGATGGAGCTTTTGCTCGGATACATCAACCTCCTTTCCCTCACATTGATATCAGTCAAGTTCAAGCCATCATTGATGACAATATGAGTAAAAATAATTTGAAATCAAGGTAAGTGTATCTTTATGTACATGTAGGGAGGATGGTTTGAGACAGGAGTTAATCTTAATTTTCTATCATTATTATTTACTATACCTAAGGGCAAAGACTCATTTTGCCTCTTACATTATGTAATTTTTAAACTTTTTGTCTGTGTGCATCTTTGGATTAGTGACTTTTGGTAAGAATTTTATAAATGACTGATTGATGAAAACTAAGTTACATTAATTATAATATTAATCTAATCTTTATTTGTTGAGGATATTTTTGTCCAATTGCTGTTGTGGATTTTGTCGTATACATGTACATTTCCATTTCATTTACAGGCTTGCGTCAATTAAAACTGTTCAACCTAGAATAGTGCCAGTGGGACCCCATATCTCAAATGTTAATGATAATCGTCATGTAGTTAGCAACTCTGCCAGAAGATTGGAGGTAAGTACCATATTGAGTAAGATAAGAAACCTCCTTTCTTTTTCTTTGGAAATTCTTAACTTCATTCTGATTTTTTTTCCCTCTTCCAGGTATTACGAAACTGTATCAATTGCATCTTTGAAAACAAAATATCTGATGCTCGTAAGTCATTTCCTGCTGTCACTAGAGCTTTGAAATCTAAAGCAGCTCGATTAGCCCTTTGTACGGAGTTGGCACAACATGTGGTTGGCAATAAAGCTATATTAGAACATCAGCAGTTTGACCTTGTCGTGAAACTAATGAACTATGCCCTTCAGGTAGTAATTTTTCTTCATATTACTCTATAACTTTTACATGATAAGTCATAATAAAAATTGATCATACTAATGGTTTTCTAAACTACATTTTTTTTAGGATGACTCAGCAATGGATGAACATGGGGTTGCTGCTGCTCTCCTTCCTCTAGCCACTGCTTTTTGCCGTAAACTGTGCACTGGGGTCATCCAGTTTGCATACACCTGTATTCAGGTACTTGTTAGACTTTGCAACTGTCATCAACATACCTTACTTATTGCGTTACTTAGAAATCTTTTGTGTACCTATTGCTATAAATGAATGCCCTAAATGTCATTACAGGAACATGCTGTTTGGCAAAACCAACAATTTTGGGAAGCTGCTTTTAACCAGGATGTACAAAAGGACATAAAGGCTTTGTATCTACCTCGTATGGAAACAAGCGGTCATTCACATGGACCTCACACACCACACACTCCTCATCAGAACCGTCTCACAAATTCCGACATGGCTATTAGCCCTGTTAGTCCTCGAGAGGTAAGAAAATTCTTCGATTTTGTTATATAAAATGCTCATGACCTCGTAAGTACCATAATTTTATTGTATTTAAATTTTTATTAGAGCAAAGAATTTGTATGGAAGGATCACCGATCAAGTTATAATAGAGTCCAGGAATGTTCTGCTTTGGAAATTGCTGCAGAGCAGATGAGGATATGGACAACTTATGATTCTGGTGAGTGCTCATTGGTTAAATTAAATTTTTGGAGCTACAGGAACTGGGCTTTGTCATTCAACTCGTATCAATTATTTAAATTAATTAATATTTCAATTATGTATTTACAGATAAACAAAAAGATCTAATGGCAAGTGAGGAGGCCACTTTGTACAGTCAAGCAATCCACTATGCCAACCGCATGGTGTATTTACTAGTCCCTCTGGATGTAGCAGCCCAGAAGCATCGCCAAGACCACACTATGGAAGATGAAAGGGCATCAAATAGCATAACAAATAGTGTTGCTGAGAGTGATAGTGCTGATGCCGAATCTGGTTTTGAAGAGCAAGATCCTGGTGAAACTGGTGCAACAGTAATTCGTCTGGTTTCGCGGTTTGTGGATAAAGTATGCACTGAAGGAGGTGTCTCTCCTGAACATGTAAGATGTCTTCATCAAATGATACCTGGTGTTGTTCATATGCACATTGAAACATTAGAAGCAGTCCATCGTGAAAGCAAAAGATTACCACCCATTCAAAAGGTAATTTTTCATGTGAAATGTTCTGTCAAATCTTAAATTGTTAAGTGTAAATCTTGGTTTTTACTTGTTTTTTACCTTCACCTACCAGTGCGCCTGCAGCGGTAGTTCTATGGGGGGAGCTAGTGTGTGCATGTGTAGGATTGTCATATTTTGAAGTAGTCTCAGTGTGAAATTTCTGGGTATTTTGATAGATCTAAAAATTGTGTTATTTTTCGCCTTGATCATTAGTTTAGGAAATATGGCTGGTGGGAACTGCACTGAGAACAGTACTCATTCTTCATACTACAATAAGGATGATATTTTATGTTACAGAATAAGTTCGATCAAAATTAATTTTGTGTTCCATGTCTCCCTTGTTTTATTTCTCATATCATGAATGTATATTAATGTTTTGATACTTCTTTGTTTAGCCAAAGATTCTTACACCAAACATGCTCCCAGGGGAGGAAAAAGTTACGGATGGACTGAGAGTGTACTTGTTGCCTGATGGTAGAGAAGAAGGAACAGGGGGAGCAGTTGGTGGACCACCCTTACTGCCTGCTGAAGGTGCTATCTTCGTAACAAATTATCGCATTATTTTCAAGGGGATTCCATGTGACTCACTTGGTAAGCTTTTTCTATTTTGCTTGTCTCATCCATCAATTCAAGGCCTTGTCAGTATTACTATTGAGTTTGTTGTTCTTGTAGCTTGTGAACAAGTTGTGGTTCGTGCATTCCCTGTGACCTCACTAACCAAGGAGAAGAGGACTACAGTTACACCATCAGCCCACCTTGATCAATGTTTACAAGAAGGCCTTCAACTCCGGTCCTGTACATTTCAAGTAATACAATCTTCTTCAATTTTGTATCTGTATTATGTATTATAACATAACATGTTTTCAATTTAAATTATCCACTTCGCTTTTATGTAGGTTCTCATATTTTCAAATGTGACAAATTCTATATCTTCTACATCTGTTACACTCTTTTTCAGCTTTTGAAAGTAGCGTTTGATGAAGAAGTGACACCTGAAAGCATCGAGCATTTCCGCAAAACAATTCACCGAATTAGGCATCCGCCCCATATATTCCATCACTTTGCTTTCACTGGTCAAGTTGTAGTGCACCAGACTCCACTTCACAAGGGCAAAGAGGGCAAAAATGCCACTCTAAAGTAAGTTCTATCTGCATATAAATTTAAAACCACAATAGTTATTAGATGAGATTAAATTAGACTTCTTACCCACCTTGCTACTGTGCAGGGGCTTTGCCAAGAAGACATTGTTAAAGACTGCAAGAAGAGCTGGTTTCAAGCCGAAAACTTCCTCCAAAAGGCAAAAGTATGTCTTGCCCAATTTAACAAATAGCAACAATATTAACAAGTATATGACATCCCCAGGCCGTATGTCACTGCCTGTCACTGACAATATTGATTATGGAGCAGAGGATGATATTTCATGTGAGAAATATTTGACACTAGAATATTATCTGTTTTTGCTCTGTTTCTTCTATCATCGAAACTAATTTTTTTTTAAAATTACTTTCCAGTGGATGAATTTGAAATTCCTGGACCAGGCCTTGTTCCACCTTCTGCTCCAACAGATGCAAAAACATTGGAAAGATTAACAGAGCGAAGTTATGTGAGAGACTGGCAGCGACTGGGGCTAATAAATAGTGCTTCAGCTGGCTCCACTACAAATTCACGTCAGAGAGATACATTTAGGCTAACCACTGTCAACAGTGCTTATATGATGTGCAGGAGGTAAAGATTATTTGATTACCTAGTCTTTTTTTTTTTCTACTCAAGATCAATACTTATATTCTCTTCTTAAAAAAAATTCCAGTTACCCAGCCTTACTTGTTGTCCCATGGGCAATAACTGATGAAAGTATACGCCGGTTTTGCCGTTCTTACCGTCACGGACGTATCCCAGTCATAACATGGCAGCACCCAAAAGCTAAAGCTTTGTTGCTTCGTGGTGCTGGATATCATGGGAAGGGAGTAATGGGGATGTTGAAGGGCCACCCTACTGCCACAGGTCAGAATTTATCTCGCATTACTCTTATGTCTCTATGGAATATTTTATGTCATAATTGAAAATTGCATTTTATTTCTACTTTTTAATAAACACAGTGTCAACATCAGAGAGTACCTCTTCCATTGAACAAGAGAAGTATTTATCAGTGTTGGTGTCTCTTACACCAATGGCTGTGATGAGGCAAGGTGCTGCCTGGGATAATTCTGACTCAAACCTGAGTATTGATTCTCTGTTATTGGCTGCTGAAGATCATAGTGGTATTGCAAATGGGCTGACCAACACATTGACACCTGAAATTTCCCGAAGGTCTAATCCTTTTAACAAGGCAATGGGTACATTGGGGTAAGTGTGCATTACCTTAATTCTACATTCATGGCTTCTGGCCTCATGGTGCCTCTTCTCCCCAGAGGCTCATGCAATTACTTCTGCTTGTTTACCTGCTATAACCATTAAACTTGGGCTTTTACTCCTACTAACATTCTTGCTTTACTAACAACTTGCTTACAATTTTTAACACAACTCTTAAAAAATATATCTATCTAAAAAAAATAACAAATATAAGTAACTATTGATAAGTTTGCAAAATTTTGCTATATTGTAAATAAAACACTCAGCACAGCCAAGTTTATGGTTAACTCTTACCAACCCTTACAGTATGTTCCCTCGTGGCAGTGGCGGCAAAGGTGGTCCCAAGACTTTTGGAAGATGGGGATCACTTAAAGACCGACGCAACAGTTCACAGGGTTCTCTAACTAATTTACCTGTTCCTCCTCGGGGGAATATCAGGCACTCAGCAGATTCTGATTCAGGGACTGAGTGTGTTCAGACCTTCCAAAGAGCTGCCCTCTATATTCTTGGTGAAAAAGCCCAGATGAAAGGTGTTAAGGTTAGTTGAATCCTTTAACTTAAGAATTAATTTCAAATTGTGTGTGTATTAATATTGAACCACTTTTCCAGTCTGAGTCGCCCTTGAAAACAGATTTCATTCCTGTGGAGTATGCAGATGTCAGACACACCAAAGCAGCTTTTAAGAAGCTCATGCGTGCCTGTATTCCAAGCTCTGCTGATCCAGAGCCAGAACATACTTTTCATAAGTTAATTGAAAGCTCTGAGTGGCTACAACAAATTCAAAATATCATGCAGTTATCTGGTGCAGTCGTTGATTTGTTAGACGTTCAACGCTCTTCAGTCATGCTCTGCCTGGAAGATGGGTGGGATGTGACTGCTCAGGTGCTTTTACAATGTGGATGAGATTTATCTTTTATTACTACACAGTTATAGTCTAATCTATTTTCATTTTGGCAGGTGTCATCTGTAGCTCAACTTTGTCTTGATCCATATTATCGCACAATTGAAGGTTTTAGAGTTCTTATAGAAAAAGAATGGTTAGCTTTTGGTCACAGATTTTCGCATCGAAGCAATCTGTCTGCTACTTCACAAGCCAGCAGCTCCGGATTTGCTCCAACATTCCTTCAATTTCTAGATGTTGTACATCAAATTCAGCAACAATTTCCCCTTGCCTTTGAATTCAATGACTTCTACTTGCGTTTTCTTGCATATCATTCTGTATCTTGCCGTTTCCGCACTTTTCTTCTTGATTGTGAGCTTGAAAGAGTAGAGGTAGGCATTGCTGCTGTTGAAGATAAAAGAGGATCTCTCACATCTCATCACAAAGGAGTAGACACTGCAGGCTCTGATGATGACATGGTTTACCCTGGTAAGATTAATTAGAAGTCTACTTACAGGTACATATGTTTAAAGTGTATTTTGCATCAAAACTAACCAGAATTATTTTACCTGTAGGTGGAAGACTTGCTGGTACAAACCAAGGGACCAATTTAGGTCAGTCACTATTTGACTATATTGAAAAGCAGCATGCTCGATCACCGCTCTTCTTCAACTTTTTGTATGCTTCGGATTCTGAAAATCCCGTTCTAAGGCCACAATCACTGCTTCCAAGTTTGGATGTGTGGAAATACTATCTTAGTGAACAGTTGTCTCATGGGCCTGCCTATGACTTAGAAGTTATCCAACAGGACTCTCAACAGGAGGAAGAAAATGAGGCTGCAGATGGAATCTCGCCTCACTCTGTGCGTAGGGTTGTCACACTGGGGTATGTACCTCTTCTCATCCTGTAATTTAAACTCAGTTGAAGCATTAACTAAAGCCTAATTTCTTGTGTTGTGTTTCGTAGATATGACATGATTGACAATCTTGTACCCAATGCTTTCTCATATTTATTGGAAGAAATTCATCGTCTAGAAGCTGAACTAGGCCACCTTCCACAAAAGTGGAAAGTTCTTTGGGATAAACTTGAGCTCCCTACCACAGACTCATTGACGGTAATCTATGTTTCTCAGATGATCAATTTGTAATGGAACAGTGTGTCAGGGCTACAACACAGGAATGTTGCGGGTTACCTGATCCAAGGGCCATAGCGCTTTACAGATGGAGCGAGTAGGCAAACCCACAACAACCGCAACATTGCTAAAGTTGAAGGCCTGACACTTTATACACTGTGATATTGTTAATGGGACCCAACTGTAGCATGAATATTCATTTGAAATGATATTTCCTTTCCAGAGACATGCATCATTCAGCACGCAGCTAGTGCGCTCTCATGGAAGATTGCTACACAAACGATCAACTTTGGAAATATTGATGCGAGGGAAAATTGCTGGTGCTCAAGATGCTGCTCATGTATATTCCCATCCCCACCGATTTGAACGATATTCTTATACAACCCCTAGCTATTGTGACTACTGCTCTAATGTTTTATGGGGACCTGTGAAGGTACTTTTGTTCTTTTTGGTTTATACTCAATGCATGCTTTTTAAAATTGAAAATTGGTTTTGTTTTTGTGTCTTATTAACATATCAATTATATTTTCATAGACTGGCTTGCGCTGTATGGATTGTGGATATAGTTGCCATGACAAATGTCAGGAAAATGTGCCCAAGAACTGTACGAAGTATAAAGCTGTTTCTGATCCCAGCAATCCCAATCAAACTTTAACTAGAAATGGTGGTGATAATGGATCTGTGAATTCTAGTAAGTGGATTTACAGTAGCTTACTATTTGCATAGTTCAAGTATTGTATTGCTATTGTCAGACGAGGAATACTCTAATCTCATGGTATCCTTATATTTTAGGTATAGCCACAATGCAAACGTCATCTCAGCAGTACTATGATCAATTCTCTTCAAATGTGGCAGAGAACCGAACTCATGAAGGTTTCTTGTATAAGAGAGGTGCTTTGCTGAAAGCATGGAAGCAGCGTTGGTTTGTCTTAGATTCCATTAAACACCAGCTAAGATACTATGATGGGGTGAAGGATTCTGAGAGCAAAGGATATATTGGTATGATTCATTATTTTTTTGAACTGTTTGTCTTGGTAATTTATTATCTGCAATTGTCTGAAAAATTCTCTCCACTCTTTTTCAAGACTTGGCAGAAGTTATGTCTGTAGCACCCGCACCGCCAGCACCTGGCCCTCCTAAAAAGACTGATGACAAATCCTTCTTTGATGTAAGTCTTTCCTCTAACAATGTGATGTTTGTTATAATTATTCATTCAATTCAAAATTCAAAATATTTTTCTTACAGTTGAAAACAAGCCGTAGAACATACAATTTCTGTGCAACTAAGAATGCTGATGCCCAAGAATGGATAGAGAAGCTTCAAGCTTGCTTGCAATAACTAACTACTGAGTACCTTAAGGATAATGCCTGCAACTCAATTGCCATGATGTAAAACCAATAATGCAGTGCTTTTATTGTTCCTTTTTTAAATCAAATGATTGTGTAGGTAAAGTAATCAAATATTTCTCAGAGTCTTTCCCATGTACAAATGCTTTTGTTGCACTTCTATTTGTATCTTGTCATTGTTGTACATAAGTAAATAAATATGTTACCCTTAGACTTAACCCTTTGTATAAAACATTTTATTGTACATTGAATATAACATATGTTGCAAATAAAATGATTGAGTTAGATAGGCACAGCTTTCTGGTTGTTGAATGTTACTTGCTTACAAATTTGCAGATATCTGTTACTGTTAATGTTACTTTTGTTTGAACCATACCACAGCTGTTTTAATATGGCTTCGCCGGTGTTCTTGGTTCATTAGCAAGTTAATATTGTTGAAATTTTAAATCTGTTACTGCACATTGGAGCTTGTATCCACATCATGTTTTCATTTTGTGAATTTCATGATTTTATATTAGTTTTATTTATGCTCTACCTGGTATCATTGTATTCTCGTCAACTGTATGCCCATCTCTGAGGTTTCTGTGATAAGAGGAAAAATCAAGGATGGGGCACACATATCAAACCAATTAAATCTATTTTACTGTATTGACTACTGCTATATTATGAATGAATGAAGTGTTGAAAGCTTGTTAGAAGACAATATTTCCTTATGTATCACTCAGAGTTTGGGTAATCATCACTATTTTTTTATTAACTGCTAGTAAAGTGAAATATTTGAAGAGATCCTTGGAATTGCATTTTGTATCACTGACTCAGCAAACCAACATTGCCTGCTGTACAATATAAACAATATCACCTAGCTCTTTAATTTTTTGATTGCTTCTTTCCTCAGAAATGAACTGCAAACTTGATTAATGCAGTTTTACAAAATCAATCTCAAAAGTATAAGCGCCAAAGGTTAAATTGCACAGCAGACTGTTGGAATGCTAAATTTATTCTGTGGTTTACAAGGTCTGCTGTTTATATCCAGAGAAAGAGTATATCTTTTTTCTTTATGTAGTTCAATTTATAAACTGTTACGATTATGTCTTGAAATATCAAACCACCAATTTGGATTTTTGTTCTTGGAGGCCTATAAGGATGTAAACATATGTTACGGAAATTAATGTCTCATTGTCCTAGTATTTGTTGACTGACAATATTATTCAAAAAATTATAGAATCTGTAGAAATTGTGAACAATAACACTTTAAGTCATGCCTTTTCTTTTCCTACCTTGCCAATTTCTAAGATTATTCAAAGTAATACATTCCTCATAATACTGTTCCCATGTGACCTCCTTGTTCAGCCTCCAGCTTTGATGGTTGATCTGATTTTTCCTTTAGAAAACATGGCCGTGTTAGAGTCTTTTAATCTACATGCGACTGATTGTAATTGAAGAGCTCCTGTAGACGGAAGTAAAATGGTATTTGACAATCAATCTCACTTTAGTTCTTATTTGAACATTATGCCTTAGCTTATCTTTCTCATATGATTTGAAGGACTTATTTTTGCATCGGTTTATCTTTTCTTGTTTATGAGACATAGTATCTAATATGCTGTGCTGCCCATAAAGAAATTCAGTTCGTTGAATGTTATTGGTTTGGATCGGCTCAACATACAGGCACGTTTTCCACTTCTGAACTCAAATGGTGAGTCTTCTAGTGGGGTTTTACTTTTATATTGCAAATTAGGTCAATTTAATGTTCAACTTATGCAAAAGCCGGACTGATAATTTACTTATTTCTTTTCATCATAAGACATATTTATTGCTGTAGAATAGTCTGCTTTATAAATTTAGTATCATTTGACAGTTTTGGCATGCACTGACAAATCTGTAATTTGTGTAGGCTTACTGTGATTCTGTTAACACAGCCAACATTATTGTGTATCATCAGCTTAGGACACTTTCAAGAATAATTTTCTCCCCACTATCAATGGAAGATGTTTGTGTCTCATGTGTGTGATAATGTTCAGTGCCAAATGTGAAATGATAATTAATAATTTGAATGTTTTGAGAATGTGCACCATGGTGCATACTGTGTTATGATTGGAAGTCTTTGGACACATTCTCAATTGGGGCTTCCTAAAACAGGCTCAAATTAATATTAATCTTTCAGTGTCTTTCAGCACTTGCCCTTTGGCCAAAGTTCTAAATTTACCCTCTTTTTAAAAAATCGAAACAAGAAAATCATTCATTTGCTCTCTTTGTTATTGGTTGCTGATTGATCAGGTACCAAAAACTATTCTACTTTATTTTATTTTACTTGCCTTCTATAGTTTTACTGAGTCTTAAATGCTCACATTTTAATTGGAAACTGAGACTAAATTGACTCCTATGATTGCAGCCTCCACAAGACTTTCCTTTCAAAGCTTGTGGCCAATATTTTTGTATCTAATGAAAACTCAAATGAAAAGATAATGGTTGATTCAGTGTTTGAAAAGTAATTGTAGTCAAAGCCAAGAGTAAGACTGAAACAATCAAACTTAACTTCTTTTCCTCCAATAATTTGTGAACAATATTGGGTCTTGGCTTCACTTTTTTCCACTATTTTTTTTTCATTTTGTTTGTTTGCTATGAGGGAAATTTTCATGCAGGTATATTGGCTTACGGGTAATGCAACGTATATGCATGTTGTAGTCTGTTTATGTGTTTAATGCCATTATGAATTATGTTGTTTTAATTGTATACATATTCTGCAATTTGTATTTATGTGCTTTTCTACCCCATAATGCTAAATGGCATGTATTCCACTAATTTCAGTTTTATAAAGGTATTTCAAAGCTGCAAATTTTTAACTGCATTGCTGAAAACATGTGCAATAAATTTATGAAATTTGTAAAGGTCATGAAATGTATGGATTTTACAAACCCTAAAGCTAGGTGCTGTATTATCAGACAATAATTATTGGTTGTCATTTTGTACTAATGACACATTCCGTTGGCCTACACATGAATTTAAGTTTCTCTTTTGTCTGCACTGTTTTAGCTCTCCGAAATATTGAAATTCAAAAAGGGAGAAAACATATCAGCTGGAAAATATGGTTTGGTAGCATGATTGATTTTCTATTCAGGTGATGTATGTTGTACACATGTTGTGTTTGTTACTCTTAGATGAAAGATGCATGTTGAGAGAAATTAACTCTATTGTGATTGTTCTTGTAAACATTGTGTACCAAATAAACTCTTGGTGTTTTATAATGCAATGCTGTAGTAATTATTACTTCCAAAGGCGATCCGGAAGTTGATTGGGAATACCTGGACAGCGAAGCAGACGGAATACCGCGCGAAGCACTCTATATTGAACTTGAATCCTTGTTTTACGCCTTGTCCCTTAAGTTCAACATCATCTGCACAAAGCTGAACCACGACTTGAGTGCCTGGAGGCAGGCGGGTTTGTCCAGGAGGCCGATGCCGCTGCCCCTGAGCTGTGCACCGCGTCCTTCGGCAGCCACCAGGATGCCCAGACGTAGCCTCCGTACGACGGGAAGCTCCTCGAGCCATGGACCCAGGGCCGCCCTAAAGCAGGGAGGAGGACCTGGACTAGTGTGCATTTGCATTGCCGTAGAGCGATTGCACCCCCTTTGCAAGGGCTCCGACACCTAACGCGTCCTCGTCCTGTACCGTGTGTCAGAGCTGTGACGGGTTTGCATATACCCCAGGGGCCATGGCGCCTGTCGGACGGAGCGAATAGGCAAACCCGCATTACTGCTGTGTCGTAGGCCTGACACGGTACAGGTACACCGGACGTACCTGAAAGCGACCTCGCGCCTCGCCTCGCCGAGCCGCTCGCCCGTCAAGCAGATGGGCACGAAGAGGGTGAGCAGAAGCGGGGCGGTGCCCACCGCGTAGATGTCTTGAAGGTTGCCGCTAGACACCACCTGGGGCCACGGCGACGGTCACGTTTGAGCGGCGCGGGGAGGCACGGCCGCACGGCCGCTGGGAATGTCCTCATTCAGTGCGAGGGAGATGGGCACATTCCCTCTCCTCCCCACGCCCCTCTCTGCGCTGCGCCCACCTCGACAGTACTGATGAGGGGCACGCCGACCACCCCAAACAGCAAGTGGGGCAGCAGGTCGCTCGTGGCCGCGTTGAGCACCAAGGTGGCGTTGAGGACGACGCCCTGGACGGACGCGCACGTCGATGTGGCGTGGCCCGTCTGCCAGGAGACCAAGGAGAGCGTGTGTGTGTGTGTGTGTGTCTGTGCGTCGTGCCCGGCATGGGTGCTACTCGTACCCACCTCCAGCCGCCGCGCCAGGGCGACGTGCAGGTCGGCGCAGGCTCTGCACACGTTGAGCAGGTACACGATGACGGTGTAGAACGCGTTGAGACAGCATGACGTGGCGTACGTCTCCATCAGCAGGATGGCGTAGTGCAGCCACACTCTGTCCTGGGACTCGCCTGCGGATTGGGGAGGGTGAAGGGGGGCCGGGCCGGGAGAAGGTAGCACAAAGGACCGCATAACCTATGCGGTCCTTTGTGGAAGGTAGCGCCTGCGAGTTGGGCCAGCCAGCCGCACAGCCGTGCGCTCCACCGCTAACGATTGTCTATCCTCCTCTTTGCAGGCGCTCCTTCCCCGAGCAGATGGGGCGGGCGGGGTGGGCGGACAGCCCTCACATCAGGCATTTGAGCGGAAAAACTTCGTCTAGTTTCAAAGAAGTTGGCAAAGAACCACGCACATTGCATTGAGGGCCCCCGGCTATCGCAATTTTAATAATTACACGAGCAGGCAACAACGTGACTTCCAACAGCGCAGTGCCCCGGGTCCCGGGTGATTGCCTTACCCCACCGCGGCGGCGTGCTGAACAGGGAGAACACGACGAGCACCTCGGTCGCCGCGCCGCACATGTTGAAGAAGCGTCTCATGCGCGGCCCGCGCCGCACTGTGCGCAACATGGCCCGCTGCGTGGACGGACGTGAATCACGTCGACGACCCGGCCGGCGGCAAACGGAGCCAGGAAGAGAGAGAGGGAGAGAAAGAGGAAATAAGGGGTCGGTCCCAATCGGCGGGTGCGGGTACCAGGTCCGGGTAGGGCGTGCCACGTTCCGTCATACAGTGCCGTGCCGCACCGCGCGGGTCCTGAACGGCATCCCCCTTGATTCTCGTTGTCGCAGTCTCTTTGTAATGTACTAGTCTCACATTCATACGTCACCTGTCGAACTGTCAATAAACCAGTTGAAGCTAAGACCACACACGACTCGTCCTCAGTCTCTAACCCGATCCCATCGGAGAACACGACACTCTTTACCTGCGACTCGGCGTCGACGTGCTCCTCCACCCGGGAGGCGGCCGACGCGATGAGGGCCAGGCACCTCTGCAGCAGGTGGACCCGTCGCACGAGGTACACCTGGGCGAAAATGCACGAGTACACGCCCAGGAGGAGGGAGACGTGCACCGGCACCTGTGACCAGCACGACGGTCTGCGTGTCAGCACGTCACCCAGCAGCCCACGGCTCGCTCAGCAGACGCTGCTGTTGTACACTGACCTGGTCGTGCGGGATGGAGCCCGGGACAGTCACCGCGCTCAGCTCCAGGAAGAGCGTGATCACGCTCGCGACCAGCGACACCTGTGGAAGGGGCAGGAAACCGTTGCAGCCCCAAAACTTTCATCACGGACACAGAACCGCCCGCCCCGCCCCTGCTTCCCACTGTCGCACCCAGTTGCCGCGTAGGGAAAACTTGAGACGCCTCCAGTGCGTGTCGTTCTTGCCGGGGGAGATGTCGTCCAGCAGCGAGAGGATGAACGTGGTGAGAGGCTTCGACTTCATGGCCCCCCGACTAAAAATGCAATTTGTTAAGAAAAAGTCACATTTATTTTCAAAAGAAATTTTACGTTTATATATATTTTTTTTAAATGTGATTTTTTTAAACAATTACATTTTTACCCCGGGTCCACCCTCCTGGCGGCGCCGTAGGTCTTGGTCCGTGCCCGCCTCCTTGGTCAGCGGCCAAAAGTGCTGCTGAGCAGCGCTCTGCGGGGAGTTTGGCTCCGCGGGCGCGACTCGGCGCAAGTTTCAGCGTCGACCCGGACCCGCCCCACCTCCCTCATGAATGGCTAAGGGGGAGGAAGACAAAACTCGCGTGCCACACACGAGTGTGAATATTGAGGGTGTGTGGTCGAGGAAGCGGCGGGGGCCCGCTGGAGCCCCGAGGGGACGCTCGGGGCGCACGCACGACGGCGTCGAGTCCATGAATGATTGACCCATACGGCTGCACTGGCGCACCGTTCCCGTGACGCTCACTACCGGGCGGAGACCGTCGCTGTGGAGACTCAGGCGGCAGGCGGACGCGGACGCACACGGCCGCCGGGGCTCTGAGCCCGGCCTCGGTCTGAGGGACATCTCTCGCTCACTCAATACCATGGAGCCATTTCTTTTGCCCTTCAGGGGGCTGGCTGCCGAGGGAGCGCGCGATCCCTCGATGGTCAGCCACCACCACCATAGCCTCCCGCCTGCTCCTCGCCTCTCGCTCTCTCCTCCACCACCCCCCGCATGTTTTCTCACTCTCCCGCCGCCGACACTCTCCAGAAGAGCGAGGTTTGCGTTTAGTGTGGCCCGCACCGTGTCGGTCACCGGCGGCTCTTCTGACAGAGATAAGATACACGCGGAGATCAGCTCCGCGCTGCCAGCGGCTTACTGACAAGTAGTGTCGCCTGGTGCGTGACACACCGCTCAGACACACTAACACCTGCTCGGGACGAGCGGTAGAGGCGCCCGTACACAGTCAAAAAGAATCGCGGAAAAAACACACGCGGACACGTCCGCTTTTTCGACCGACATCACCGAAGTAACAAGTGGCTTGGTTGAAAAAAAAATGACTAGAGTTTATCGGCGGTGATTTTCCGTGTTTCTTTTTAAACAGTGTGCGCGCGCCTCTTGTGTAACATTAGGTTCGGGCGAGGACTCGAGGGCGGTCCGATTCTATTCAAGCGCGTGGAACGGTTTTCAAAGAACCGCAAACGGTGGAGGGATTTTGATTAGATCCGGCCCGGATAAAGCCCAGACGTCGAGGGTAACTCAAGTAAGTCCTTGAAATAGAACAGAGCTGAGTGCGAGGACAGGTAAGTTGACGTCAGAGTGTCGACCCGGGCGGCCCTTCCTCCCACCATTCCGTGGTTCCGTGGCAGAGCGTATAGCGCTGAGCGGCAGCCGGCTGCTGGGCTGGACTTCCCCGGCCGACACCGGCGAGTCGTGCGAGGACACCGCAGAGTGAGCGTACCAAGGAACCAGTTTACCTCAGTCGCAGAGAGAAAGAAATGGCTGTGTAGTGCTCTGGTGGTTAACTGATTATTTACTGCCCTCAAAACACCGAGGTGACGCGCGCGTCTCCTGCGGCAGAGGTACACGGCGCGGCTGACCGCCCCCGCGCAAGACCTCCCTAGCCGTGCTGCTGAACAGGACAGCCGCTGCTGCGCGGGCATCCCTGCCGACCCACCATGTCTCAACGTCGAGGCCTCTTCTCGGTGCGTATGGAGTGAAGCAGCAGGCGGAGGCGTGCGTCCTCCCTTGTCCTGCAGGACGCCCGACTCGAGCGCCCCTGGAATGTTTGCAGATGGAGTGGAAGCTGGTGGCCGCCCTGCTGGCGGGGTACGGCTTCCTCAAGGAGATCCGTCCGTCCGAACCGTACATAACCCCATTCCTGACGGGGCCTGACAAAAATTTCACCGACGAGCAGGTATGAGGGATGGAGGCGGAGAGAAAAAGACTCGCGTTCGCAGCTGGACTCTTTTTGCTAATTTAGCGCCAACATTATTTTGATGCACCAGCAGAATACAGGGTGGTCCAGATCCACAAACCCCTTCCTTTATTTTGCTAATACTGTTCCGCACGCAAGCGGGCGGGCGGGCTTGCCTATCGCCGCTCACGGCGCCCTGGCCCCGTCTGTGTATGCAACCCGCCCGCACACCTGCATGCGGAACAGTATAAGCATAAGCAAAGTAAAGGGGTCTGTGGATCACCCTGAGTATCGCTGATGCAACAATTGCTTAGCTGCCTCAGCAAAGCGCATTGTAGTATCAAATATGCAGTTTGCTGCGACACCAAGTCTTTTCTTCTCGTGCAAACCGTGCTCAATACACCGATGACGATCCATGCTAGGCTGAATCTCTCTTTCCCAGGTGAACCAGCAGATCTTCCCGGTGAGCACGTACGCCATGCTGGCCCTGCTGGTCGTCATCTTCCTCGTCACGGACTTCCTGAGGTACAAGCCCGTCATCGTGGCCCAGAGCGTGAGCGCCGTGGTCACCTACTGCATCATCGCGTGGGGCCAGGGGGTGGCTATCATGCAGTTCATGGAGGTGCTGTACGGCCTCATGTGGGCCGCGGACGTGGCCTACTTCACGTACATGTACGCCAAGGTGGACAGGGCCCACTACGGCACCGTGTCCGCCACGGCGCGGGTAGGCTACCTCCTGGGCCGCTGCGGCAGCGGGGTCCTCAGTCAGGTCGCCGTCAGCTTCAACCTCCTGTCGCTCCTCAGCCTGCAGTTCGTCACGCTCGGTGGTGAGAAACCCTCCACGGGTACCCGCAGCCCCTAACTTTCCCCCCCAAAACATAAAGACAACATGATAGTAACTGCCGTGTGAAGCTTCTGTCGCAGCGACTGCGTTCGCTCTGGCCCTCCCGGGCGTGTCGACCAGCTTCTACTTCCACAAGAAAGCCGGGAGCGCGCTTCCGGACGTCGAGTCTCGGCCCGGGAGCGGCTTCGGTTCATCTGAAGCTCTCGGCGACGACCCGCCGTCGCCGTCGGCTGCCGGTGTCAAACCTGCGCCTGCGCCCTCCCACCCGAGCGTGGTCAAGCTGCTCTGGGCGGACTGCAGGGAGGCGTTCAGCAAGGTGGACGTCGTCAAGTGGTCGGTGTGGTGGGCGCTGGCTAGCGCCGGACAGATGATGGTACGCGCCTCAGCTATAGGCGACTTTACTTGAGAGAAATTTCAAAATGAGTGTGATTTCGACTTACACGCTTCCATCTATATTTTCCCCGAACTGCAGGTCCTAAGTTACGTGCAGATCCTGTGGCAGGCATCTGTGCGGGAGAGCGGCAGCACGGAGACGCTGCTGAACGGCGCGGTGGAGGCCGTGTACACATTCCTCGGTACGGGTACTTCCCCGCGCATTGGCACCGCCCCTGCGGTTGAGGGTGTCGCGTCGCCTCCACGTTGTGCTCAAGGGGTACTGCACGCTAAAACATCAGTGTACACCCTCCCCCCAAAATTAACGGAAAAATCAATTAAGAAATTAGAACAAAAAACAAACAAAAAATACAAAAAAGTCAAGAAAAACGGATAAATTGGTGTTCGCTTGAATTTATAGTGAAGTGCCCCTCGGTTGTGCTCCATTACAGGGGCGGGCGCCGTGTGGCTCACGACCCAGAAGAAGGACTACTCGACCGTGGGCGACGCGCTGGTCGGCGTCTGGTCACTGGCAGCCGGGGCCATCGTCATCCTGGCCGCCCGGTCGCAGAGCATGGCCGTGCAGTACGCCGTGTACGTGGTCTTCGCCACCTCGTTCAACGCCGCCATCACCATCGCTTAGTGAGTAACGGTGACACCCGTAGCCTCCCGTCTTCAGAGCAGTACTGCTCTGCTCTGAAGCCCACGTCTCCATGTGAGACCCTAAGGCGTGCGTTTGACTCGGCTCCCCAGCTCGGAGGTGGCCAAGCGGGTTCGCGAGGACGCCCACGCCCTGGTGTTCGGCATCAACACCCTGGGCGCACTGCTGCTGCAGACAGTCCTCACCTTCACCGTGGCAGGGGAGGGTGGCCTCGAGCTTGACATCCGGACCCAGTTCACCATTTACGGCAGCTACTTCCTCGTCATTGGACTGGGCTTTCTCGTCGTCTTCGTCGTCACATTGTTTACCAGGAGATGCAGCACGGCAAGGCGAGAATAAATGGCAACCCCCATTTCAATCTTCCCAATTTTTTTTTCAGATCCTACCAATGGCCCTCTTACCCTGATAATAATTCATCATGAAGAAAATAGATGTATATGCATCTAAATTATCTTTCAGTACAAATTCTTTTTACTAACATTTAAATATTTACATATGTACATGCACCAAAATGTTGACTTTGAAGTAAATATATGAAAAGAAAAAAAGTACAAATCTCTAAAATCCATACTTGGACTGTGTTTGTTTGCGAGTCTGACGATTGTTTGCCCATTGGTTCTTAAGCTCCAGTTCATTTTCTTTAGCCTGTGAGGGATCAACAAAGTACGACGTTAATCTTTTATCCAAAACAGCAATGAACATAAGCAAGTTATGGAATACTTACAATATGGGCCAGGTATGTGATTTGGTGTTTCCTTTTCTGTTGTGAGCTTGGTCCAAACATCCCTTTCTTACTACTATGTCTTGGTTGTTCTTCAGTCAACTGCTTGGTGAGCCATTCTCTCTGGTCAGGCATAATATCATTACTAGACACGTCCATAATCTGTATTTCCTCACGGTTTCGCCCTTTCCTTCCACACAGTTTTTGAATCTGAAAACAATGAAAAGAGACATTTAATAGAGATCGGCAAAGTAACAAATGGAATGTCAGTGCAATCTTCAATATTAAGAAGTTTAAATATGTGTGTTACTCACAGCCTCATCATCAAGTTGCAGATCTTGACTGCCTGAAAACCCAATGTAGTTTTGGCCAGAATCAGCCTGGGGAAGTGCATCAGTTTCCATCTGCTGGTTCTGTTGATCGTACTGATAGTCTCCATACACAGTACTCTGTTGATATGAAGTAGAGGGATCTTCATACGCAACAGAGGGACCTGGATTATGATAGGTACTAGAAGATGCTATCAAGTTCATTTCAGCAGCTGGAATTTCTGGAAGTTTATCCTCTTTGTTTAATGAGAAGAAGTCAACCTGGTCTCCTTCCCCATCAGATTCTGGATCAGAATCTGGCTGCTTTCTCTTAGATGTTTTGGGAATAATTTTCTTTGGAGGAGGTGCTGGGGTGGGTTTCCTGGTTAGAACATTGGGGACTAAGGACCGTTTTGCCTCCTTTATGGTAGCCTGCTTTGGTGGTGGCAGTAGTGCAAATAGTCCTGATCCTTTCTGTAAACGGTGGAATATATTAAGAACTCTGCTGACAATGGTGGTACACACAGGAAAATGTTACTACAGATACTCACAACCGATGGTAGAAGTTTTTTCTTTGTTTTTGGTTCATCCTCATCCTCTGGAAACTAAAAAGAGAAGTGTAAGAATATTATTGACAATTAGTACTTTTATGTGATGCATTGCCATTTATGCCTTACATCTGAAAGGGATGGTATCATGATCTTCACAGTCCCTTTTCTAGCTTTACCCTTCCGATCCTGGGGTGCCAATAATGAACTTTCAAGGAGTGATAATGTAGAATGATGTTTAGGTGCTGGAAGTTTTGATCCAAGTGCTAAGCTTTCACCAGCTTCTATGTCTTCGATTTCTACCCCATCTGCAGTCTTAGGTGCTGGCAACTTGGAACTAAGCTGAACTTTTTTGCTAACACCTTCTGTTTCGGATGACGCCAATTTTGAATGAAGGACGGAGGCTGGTGCAGTTCTTGACAGTGCTTGAGAGGAAGGGCCATCACTATTACCGATGATCCCATTGCTAGGCTTTGACACGGTGGGTTTCTCATCATTTTTCACTTGTTCTATTTCATTATCACTCTCATTTTCACTTTCGCCACTGCTACCATAGGCTACCAGAGACATCATCTGCGCACACAAACAGACCAAATTCGAAACTTCTGATTAATGCATTTGGTTCCATTCAAGGTCTTAGAGCAGTTGAAAATCAAATACCAGAAATTAAGACATAAACACACGCCTCAGTTCAAGATAAAGAGAACAGTTTACTTAACAAATATAGGTTATAATATGACACTGTTGATTTATACATTAACTTTTAATACCTTGCTGAGAAAAATAGAAGACACTCAGAATGTATAGTTGAACAAGTTCAAATGAAACTTCTTAAATTAATTTGACTTGAACTTTAACGCAAATAATCAAGCACTCAAGCAGAACGCAGTGACAGACATTTGTGTTTTATTCTAAATTTCCTGGAGGGCAGTGACTTGTGTTTACAACCGACTAACCCCCAACCCAACAGGTAGCGCACGACGGTGAGGTAGCTGTTTATTTCAGATTTTGGTAAGTAATTTGTGTTAGGACCTTGGAAACTTTGCTATTTTGAAAATTATTGCTGGTTCAGTATATATTTTATGTTGTCTACCTATTTTATTTTGAGTTTAATTAGATTTAATGGTCGTTTACCTGGTAGACTAAGTGGAGTTTTGCTGTCATTCACCACCTTTGTTTCAGAGTAATCACATTTATGGCGCAAAATGGCTTGTGTTGAGTCTCTTGAAAAACTATCTCTTCTGGATGTGTCAGAGCCATCTGTTATCAAACCTTTCATCCAACAATCACCATTGAAAGAGACAGTTACTGCAGCAAAAATCGACGGAGTTCATACAGACATTGTCATCACCGAATTTGTGTATGTATCTGTGTTTCTTCGGACGAATATATTCCTTCACTTCATTATCTTTTATATTTCAATCTTTTTAGGAATCGCATTTTTATTGTGCTTACTCAGCGACAGTCATTTTCAAGCCTACTCCTTGTCTCAAAGGACGGTCCTAAAACTTTCGAAGGGAAAGCTGAAGACATATACACTGTGAAGTATGTTCACGAATCTAATATTTTATTGGTCATGTCGCATTTATTAACAGTCATGAATGTATTCATCATTTGAGAACTATTGTTGTAGGTCGATTTTTGGAGTAGATAGTGAGCAAAGCGGAAACCTTGTTGCTCGCTTTCTGAGTGAGCATACTTGCATGAACAAGCCTGCTTTATTTGCACTGGGCTTGAAGGACCATAGTCCTCGTACAGTCAGAGCACTCAGAGATATAATCAATCAACACAAGAGTTGGTGACTTAAACTATGGCTTCATCAAGCAAGTCTACTACCTTTGGCCAACTTGTAATTGGACCTCCAGGCAGTGGGAAAACAACTTACAGTAAGGCCATGAGTACATTTTTAGAGTCTATTGGAAGGAAAGTTATTGTAGTGAATGTTGGTGAGTTTCAATTATACCTGACTTTTCAGTGAACTAAAATTCCTTGATGAAACTCACTCTTGTGTTTGCTTTTCTAGACCCTGCAAACGATGACCTTTGCTATAAGGCAGCCATTGATGTGTCAGAGCTCATTACTGTTCAAGATGCCATGCTCCATATGCATTTGGGACCAAATGGTGGTTTAGTTTACTCAATGGAATATCTTTTGCAAAACATAGATTGGTTCTTGCAAAAACTTGCCAAGTATCGTGACCATTATGTAATATTTGATTTCCCTGGCCAGGTAAGTCCTCAACATTGTTATCAGGATTACTCTTTCCTGTCAAATTTGTGTCACTCTCTTTATTTGTAGGTGGAGCTGTACACTCACCATGAATCTATCAGAAATTTGATATCCCATTTGGAGAGTGCTGGCTTTAGATTGTGTGCTGTACATCTAGTAGACTCTCATTACTGTAGTGATCCTGGTAATAATTTTTAAGTTGAAAGATGTAATTTTTATTTTATCAGTGTTCTAACTTATTTGTTACTGTTTTCCTATAGGAAAATTTATTTCTACCCTGCTCTTATCACTCACTGCAATGCTTCACTTAGGATTGCCACATGTGAATTTGCTTTCTAAGATGGATGTTATGCATCAATATAAAGACCGACTCCTTTTTGGTATTGACTTTTATACAGATGTTCTTGACCTCCAATATTTGTTGGAAGCTCTAGATGAAGACCCCTTTTCCAAGAAGTAAGTCATGTTTTTCTTTTCGTATTTAAACTTGGTATTATTTTGTTCTTCTATTCTTATTACACATTGGCTTCCTAACATCTTTAGGTACAGGAAGCTAAATGCAGCCCTTGTGTCACTTGTTGAAGACTTCAGCTTAGTGACATTTCTTCCTTTAAATTCTAAAGACCAGAAGAGTCTGTTGAAAGTTAGGAGTGCTGTGGATAAGGCAAGTGGTTGGGTGTATGGTCAAGGAGAAGAACGGAGTGTCCAGCAGTTATTGGCCTGTGCTGTTGGTGCTGAGACAGAGCAAGAAAGAATTGGTGATCTAAAAGACTCTTTGATGGACACTGATGATGGGGATAATCGTTAGAGTTATGGATTGCCGTCAGGAGATATAATTGTATAAGATAAAAATAAAGTACTTGTGAAATCAATATTTTTAAATCTTGTTTTATATATACATATACAAAGCTCTTACACGATAGGCGTCTTGAACTCAGCAATTAGGCGCCACCGGGGGATTTGGAAAATGCCGCCGCGCCTAGAGGCGTACTAAAGAGTGCTGAGAGAACTCTGCTCTAAGTGCTGCTGTCATTTGCTAAGGCATTGCTGGAATTTTAACTTTGCATGTGGACAATTGCGAAGTGACACCCATTTATATAATTGACTTGACTAAACATTGAGAGCGCAACGACAAGCCTTTGCACACCACCGGTACACCACGACCCGGCCTTCCCTCGGTGGAAAACTACGTTTCCCCCTTCCCCTCCCCCCTTTCTATTGGCACAACACCGAAAAATCTTCGTACACAACAGCTGATAAATAGGCAGAGAAAAGGGCAGAAGCAGGCCGCCGGCAGGCCCAGGCAGGCCTGTGTTGTCATGGTACTTTTTTCCATTTTCATTCTTGTCAACTTAAATAATATATCTCAATCAATCATACCCCAAATTTAATGATTTGAAGTGCATTTTATTCTAACCTAGTGTCCATTCAATGTTTTAATTTGTATATAGGTTTTTATTCATCAAAAATATGGCGACACAATTGTCTTCAATGTTGGTCCATCCAATGAGAATTCATCCTGGTGAAGATGTATTAAATGTACTTCAGGAATTTGTACGGACAAATGATCTGAAAGCTGCTTTCATAGTGACATGTGTTGGCAGTGTTAAGCGTGTCAAGTTACGATTTGCCACAGATTCAGAGGGTAAAGAAGCGGTGTGTATCAATTGACATCCGATTCGTTTCAAAATGAGATTTTCAGATTTATTAATCTGATCCCCGTTTCCAGATTTCAGATATTGTAGAAAACATGGAAATATGTTCTTTGGTCGGAACTGTTGCCCAAGATGGGAGTCACATTCATGGAACATTTGGTAATGTTAAAGGACACACTGTATCAGGTCATGTCATGGGTAACATGGAGGTTCAGACTACTGTAGAAATAGTTATTGGTAATGCAGTTGGTTACCATTTCAGTAGAGAATTAGATGACAAGACTGGCTTTAAGGAGCTTGTGGTAGAGAAGGAAAAAATATAAATCCACCCTCCAACTTGTGATGTCAACAAGAAGCCAAAAAAATAAAAGACTAATACGCCATTTTTGTTTCTATTTTCTGTTAACAAGTTTTAATACAAAACATATTCGCTAACTTTACAGTAACATTGAAATAAATACAAAATAAGTAAAAGAACTTCCCAGAACTCCCACACACATTCGACAACAAAGGAATATTTATCTAATTAAATGGAACTCTCACGTCCAATATCATGAAGAACTAGTAAGACTTGCCATTAACAACTCCATTTTGTTCAAGAAGTTTTTTCCTTCCATCTTGTCCCACCGAACTTCCTTAAAACCACCACCTAGATTTTCCCATTTGCGGTCCTTCACAAGTTGACCCGGGTAAAAGTCTTTTCTTGGTGAATGAGCGATTGAGACATGTACTCCAGCTTGAGGTTCACATCGCACAGCTATCAATCGATCACCCATGGGAGAGGCAAGCATACAACTGCTTGCATTACCCATCTGTTGTACTTCTCCCACACCTAGGTGTGTGTTGTTAGAAAGAAGCTGCCAGCCCATACACTTTGCAAGTGCTTGAACGGCTGTGATTTGATGTTGTTGTATCTGAAAGTAAATATTCTCATCAGTTTAATGGGTTCCAACAATTAAAAACCTATTACAACTTTAAAAAGGCAAAACTTGTCAAATGTTTCTCTGGAAGGATAAATAGAATACACAAACCTGACAAATAAGAAGATCTCGCAATTCCTGAATTTCATATGACATGTTCATGACACTGCCGTCCCTGCAAATGCATTTTAAGGACTTTTTCCCAACATGAATTATCAGAAGAGTGCGGCAGATCTATAGCGAAAATGAAAGACATGTTAATCTACATAGAGCAAAGTATCTAGAGTACCTCTGCAACAGCAGCATAAGTGAATAAAGAATATTTTACTCACAGTGTCATATCCATGAGTCATAATATTGACTTTTACACAAGCTTTGGTTGGGGAGTTGATTGAATTCCAATGTGAAATAATGAGAGGATCTCTAACTTCCTTGGCAATAGTATCTAGCACATACTCTGTACGCCTTCTCATTGTAAAATGTTGAGTTTGTTCAATAATTTGCTCAAGTAAGGTTTTGCTGCACGTGAAAAGGGAGTTTTGAAAATTTACATTGTACACTCATAGTTAGAGAAGCAATAAAAGAATTACATTTTAACTAGTACCTCTTAGACATCTCCATTAACTCATGACGATCAACAGCGGAAGGTCCTGCTAAACATCGCTGTTTACTTGGGCCAAGGGGTCCAGATGATGGATGGGGAAAAGGATGGTGAGTGTTCTTATGGTGCACCTCTCTCAGTAATTGATGAATGGAATGTTCAAGAACATGGTCATGATCGGATTTCTTCTGCTGAGGAGGTCCTGACTTTTTATTCTTGGTGGCTGTGCTGTGGCAAAGTCCAATGATGAGCTGGATTCCAGGTAAGATCTGTCAAAGTATAAAATGAATGTTAAAAATTTACAGCTGTTATCCCACTGGTGTTGCATTAGTAAGCACAACAGATATAGTGTGAGTTTTTTTTTCCAATGTAACCATATAAAGTCAATGTACTCTTTGACAGTTGTTTTCATAATACTGTAAAATCTTGAAACTTAGATAAAAAAATAAATTAGATGTGTACTTACGGAGGCTACAATTTGATTTCCAACAACCATGTGTGGAATAGGGCCAGGCAATTGGACAGCTTCCTTGGCAAGCTGGTTAAACAGTTCTTTACAAAATAAAACATTTTGAGCAGCTTCAAGTTTCTTTTGCCAATGCATATCAGGCATTGGGCCTGCTGTATTTAAGGTAGATGATGTAACGGTTGTAGAAAATAATGCTTCATCATCTATGGAGAAATATAAAAGATAATTTAAGTTTGATAATCATCCTTTATCACTATGATATTCTTTCTTAAGCCTGAATATCACACCTTTACGGCAATGGACTTCTATGTATGCAACTCCTTGAAGTTCACTTGGAAGAGTTACTCTCAAAGCTGATGGTGTTTTAGGTGGAGGTGCCACAGCACTAGGTGATTGCGGTGGACTCCAGCCAGAAGACGGTTCTTCTTCTGCCTTTGTGACTTCAAACATACCACTTGAAGCAAATTTGGATCCAGCTGAAGAAAAAGATAATCTTAGAATTCCCACTCCAAATCATACTGCGCAACTCTAAATCATGTCATGGACTGTAGCTTGAGCCTGACCTGTACGATAGCTGACGTCTCCTATGATGGAGTTTCCAACTTTCTTAAGCCTCCAATTCTTTCGTAGAGCCAGTAATTCTATGTGAAAATCTGAGGCAGCTCGGTTACGAGCAGCCTCGCTTTGACTAGTTCGTAATCTTTCAGCACCAGTTAAAAGAACTGTAGCTGCACCCCCAAGAGCCTTAAGAAAACAAGAGCCGGGTGGCACATTGATATTAAGTCTACTAAAGCGGAATTGATTACTTGGCAGATGAAAAAAAAATAACTTACCTTCTTTCTTGCATATACTGTTACCATCGCCTTGGTTTCTGGTGGTTCTTGAGGTACTGGATCCAGCACAAGATATCGCTTCTCTTTAGCAATTGCTAGGACATCAGACAGAACACAAACCTCTGTAAATGCATTCCTGACAAAAACAGTACAATGATTTTTTTTTAAATTAAAGAGACATGAGGGAAAACCCAATAATTTACTTTAGTTTGTTCCGAACAGAATCCCAGGGCCACAATGAAGATTGGTACGCTGCCGGATCTTTAGCATCCTCTTCTGTCTTGTCGACAACTTTTTCCTCCTTTTCATCCTGGCCTTTTCCAAAATCAATTTTTGCAGCAAGCTTTGATAAGCTCTCTGACATAGAGAGTGGTCTAGAGGGAAGACAAAACGTATCATGAAACACATGTATATTGAATAGTATTGCTAAGTAAAGTTCAATTTCGTTGAAATTTGAAGAACAATTGATTGACCGGGATGACGGTCTAGCAGAAAGCGGCTTGTCAACAAAATTAGTTTCTGATAGAAGTATGCAATTTTCACGCAACAAATATATTTCAAATTAATTGTACAGCAAAATAGCGTAAACGTAGGTCATAATATAACATTTAAAATGGTCTCTTTAAGGTAAAAAGCATAAAAATTAAAGGAAAGGGAGAGATGAGCGAACGACACTTAGCCTCACAAGGGCATATAAATTAGAAAACGCATTTTTTGCTGCACGAAACCACTTCCTAAATTAGATAAAGTAAAAACAATAAGCTTACTGTTGATAAACTTCAGTTCCATCGTAAGCTATTTCCTGAATTTGATTTTCTATGGGAGCTTCAATCGCAACGTTCACCGAGTACGCCATGTTTGTTGACGTTTGAATTGTTGTTGTTTTGGTTTTGTAGAAGGCGGCGTGAGGAGGCAACCTTCAAAAGAATAAAATGAAGGTGTAAAGCGAAAACTGAAATGTTCTTTCGACGAAAACGTTAGTATTAAGTGTATTCCTACGATATAGAACAGTGTTGGACAATAATTTAGGCAAAATTTGATTCAAAAATTGTTTTAATACATGGGTAATTGACTGATATAGTTTGGAATCAAGAAGTTGGTACTACTTGTCGGTCGCGTTCTGTGATTCGCTGAGAGCGATGAGAGCTAAGCGCCTCGGCATTCAAACGTTAAATAGTGGTAGTTCCACAATTCTCTCTTCTCAAGCTTCCTTAGGTAATGCTTATTCAAAGTCCGCAAAGACTTAAGACTGACGGGAGCGATACGAAAAGGAATCTCTATAAATCTCGAGTAATCTTGGTAATCATGGGTAAACTTTGGTAATCGTTGGTAATTTGGTAACCGAGTAATTGGTAATCTTTGACAACCGAGTAACCGGTAATCTTTAGGCATCTCCTGGGCAATCTCAGAGGCAATCCTTGACAAACCCTAGTAATCCTGGGGAATCCTTGCACGTAATTGTGTTATTTGATAGTCCTGTGGGTACCTGTTTTTTTCCCGAGTCGGGCACCCTTTGCAAAGGCCCAATGAAGTTCGAGAGTGTGCCACACGTAATGCCGTTTTCGCGAGTGGCCACACAGACCAACATGGGTGATATTTTACGATGCAACCGAAGCACACCTTTTCACTGCACGGTAAAAATGGTTTGTTGTATTTCAAGACCTGGTCCATAAGATCCAAGACCGGGTCTTATTGTAATACAAGAAACTTTTTTCACCGTGTGGTAAAAAAAGGTTTTAAGTCACACCTTTGCAGAAAGAGTCGCAGAATTTTTGTTAAGGCACGAAAGAGCTCTAAAGGTGCTGAAGTTAGAGCCTTTGGCAGTTTTAATGCGACTTACTACCTACCTTTGTTTTTCCAGCGCTTATGCACGGTGCACTAAAAATTCGGAAAAGAAGAGCTCAACGGAAGGAAGTATAGGTCAGCGAGAAACGGGTCGGAAAGCCTCACTTCCTTTCAAGTATGAAGGAGCAAGCGGAATCTCATTGTCACCCCGCCTTCCCTGGACCCAACCCAGAAGACCCCCTCTCTCCTCTTCTTTCTCTTTCTGCGCGCCACTGCCAAGTGTTGTTTTCTCCCTCACTCGCGGACCCCCGCGTATCGATCTCGCGCTTTTGCACGCAGCCCCCCTCCCTCTCCGACCCCAGCAACAGGCCCCGCGAGCTCGGGCCATTCCTGCAAGGGTCTCGTCTTGGGGGCGAAGAAGAACAGTAGACAAAATCAAACGCAAGTAAAATATCTTGAAGAATACCTGTCGACCTTTCTCTTGCCATCCTGTCTGCGAGCAAACGGGACAGATACGTCCGAACTAGTCGTGGCAGTGCAGCGTCTCGTGGCCGTGGCCGCGTCGGGCACCGCGCGCATATCTTAAAAAGTAAAGAGGCGGGTCCCTGTGCCAGGCCATGGCCAGGCGTTTCGCCCGTAACGGTCACCTCGTCGCCATCCCGACCCTCGTCTCGACTCCTCTCGGGTGGCAACTTGCGGATGATGCGTCCTCTGGAGCCTCCCTCTGGAGCGGCACGGCCAGCCCGGGCCTAGCGGAGGCCAAGCACGCCGTCCCGAAGGACAGATTCCTGGCTTTCCACGCGACCGACCCTTACATACAGGGGGCAGAATAACGAAACATACTCATTGGTACTGTGACCTTTCTAGCGTATAGCTGTTTAGTCGGATTAGGCGAATAGCGCTTTGAGAAAGAGAAATACTTGCCCTGAAAAATGCAACCGTATCAATACAGAGTACAGAGTGGTCCACATCCCTTCTTTTATTTTACCTATACTGTATCGCATGCAGGCGTGCGGGAGGGCCTGCCGTCCGAGCTGCCGTCGCTCACCTCGGCGCCTTCCGCTCCGTGTGAGTATACAACCCGTCAGCACGCCGGCATCCCGTACAGCACAAGAAAAATAAAGGAAGGGGTCTGTGGACCACCCTCCCTGTGTATTGATACTATGTACAGACGACTAGGACCAGGCAAGCGCGGCGCCCGCCGAAACGTGGAGGGAGCACACTGAATATTTGTAAGAAAAGTGTGAAGGCAAAAGAGAATTACCGAGTCACTTTCTTCAAAAAGTAAATCATCTCCCATTTTCGTCCATTTCATATTCATACCGCTCGGCCCCGCTGCCGCCGTCACGCACACGAGTCATTCGTTCCGCCGGCCGGAGGATCCCCTGGGGATGAATGATGCATGAGCGAGGCGAGCAGTGAGGTGCCACCGGGCGCCACACCGCCGGGTGCCACACCGCCGGGTGCCACACCACCGGGTGCCACACCACCGGGTGCCGCTTCAGCAGGTGACGCCGTTCGTCTGTCTGGTTCAGGTACCACCGGGTGCCACACTACCGGGCGCCACACCACCGGGTGCCGCACTAGCAGGTGCCGCCGTCCAGGTACCACCAGGAGCCACACCACCGGGAGCCACACCACCGGGTGCCACATCACTCACTAGGTGCCACCGGTGCCACACCACAATGTGCCACTAGGTGCCACTGCCACCGGGCACCGCCAGGTGCTCCAGGGTGCCACCAGGCGCCAACACACCGACTGCCACCCCGCCGGTGGTCTTAAAGTGCCGTGCCGTCCGCGACTTGTGTGACGACGGGGCCTGCCGCAGCTACGTGGGCGATGGCAATGGTAAGGGCATGGCCCACAGCGCGTGGATGCATCTAATCTCTCAACAGATTGTACGGGGTGGCCCGCAGACCCCGGAATATTGCTTAGTTATACTGTACCACATGGGGCAAGCGGGTGGGCTCGCCTGACCATCCAGAAAGTGTACGCCCGCCATTTGCCGTTGCGAAACTGCCCAGTTCAGCCAATGCGAGCTCCCACAACGCCCGATAGGTAGGCAACATCTTGCCTGCAGTGCACGCGTGTACTGCTGGGTGGTCTACCCTGAGTTTTGCAGGCGCCGAGCTCCTGTTCTTTGCGGAGCGAATCTTGAAACAGCGGACGTACTTTCTAGACGATCCCTAATACACTGTAAAACATTAGTCTTGGATACGGAGCCTGTCACGGCGTTCCGTACCTCACTTTTGGGAGTGATTTTCGAAAGTGGTTCGGAGATTTGCCGTACATGGCCACCGTACCAACGATTTTTACATGGGCTAGCATAGGGAAGGGGGTACGGAACGCCGTAACAGACTCCGTACTCAAGACGAAGACCTTGGGATCAAAATTAGCAGGACTTTTTCCGTACTTTTCCGTACCCTGGCTCCGTACCCACGTTTTTTTTACATGGGCTCTTATGGGAAGAGGGTACGAAACCCAAGGTACGGAGACGCCGTAGGTTAAGTAAACGGCATATTTCCGTATAGGCAACCGTGATTATTTTTTACAGTCTGATTGTGCTCCAGGGTCTGTGGGCCACCTTGTATTTGCACGCCTATACATGCATTTCAGTCAGACATACATTTATACAAACGAGCTTAGTCGCTCTGAAACCTATGAAGTGATTACATTCAACAGTGTAGTGTGCCCAGCAAACTTGAAGTGTTAATGTTGAAAAACAAAGCACACACAAAAAATCAACGAAAAGGCCCTAAAAACGACACGTACGTATATGCTGCTGTACATTTTACGACGAAAGTGTTGAAAATTGAGGACGTCATTAAGCGCGGGCTCTGCTTTTTGTGGCGCGGCGCTGCGCGGGGCGTGCTCGGCGACCGTATGCCACCCGCCCCATTCGCTTGATTATTTTGTGGCGTGGCGCGGGCGCAGCAGCGTGCCGCGCGGTGCCGTGGAATCCCCGCCAATGACATCCGCCGGGAAAATGCGCGCAGACCGCGCGTCGTTGGTGACTGCTGCGTGTCGGGGGGCGACGGTGAGCAAAGGGGAGGTGGGGGGAGGGAGGGGGTTATGCCATGAGTCCGCATGTCATTCCGGCCAGGGGTATATCATACCACCCGCGGCACCCGGGCGATCTCAGCTCGAATAAGGCATCGCGGTCATACTACACACACATACACACACGCTCGCGTGCACGCGCACACACACATGCACGCATGAACACACACACAATCAACCACGCCCCATTACCGTGTAAATCGGTCACGCGCACATTTATACGTTCCACCATGTGATATCGTCCCCGTCCTATCTCTCCTACTCCCCCCCCCCTCTCTGCTCCAGGGTGCCACCAGGCGCCAACACACCGA